GGGGTAGAGTCTAATTCAGAAATAGTACAGTCAAGCCGTTCTACAACTTCGACCGAGTTATCAAATGTTCCTTATGGTAGCTTAGTCTGGGCAAAAATGCAAGGCTTTCCTTGGTATCCAGCTGAGGTATTAAGGTTTTATTATCTTAACAATTTTTTTTATTTCGCTATTCACCTACTATAATTAAATATAGGTTGCGGACCCAAATGGGCCTGAAGTCACTGAGGCGATCAGATCAGACAAAAAAGAAGGTGATCATTATTTGGTACGCTTTTTCGATGAGAAAAAAGAGAAGAAGAAATCTAGACGCAGTTGGTTAGTACATTAATGTTATGAAAATTATAACCCCCGAAATTTTATTAACAAATTTCTTGTTAGGAAATGGGTTCCGGAGACTAAAGTCCTCCTTATTGGAGATCAGCAAATGGACTTGTCAAAATTAAGGGAAAAATCAATGTCAAATACGATGAAAAAGGAAGTTCCCAAAGCGTATGAAGCTGCATGTTTGTCTAAAGGTATAGAACCCGTTGTTTTACAACAACTACAACAACTTTCGGTAGTGCCTCTAAAAAAACATAATCGTAAATAATTGTAAGCTACTTGTTTCGTCTTTGTGACGGACATTTGTAAATATATGATTAAGTTACAAAATTTTGTAGTAATTTTGTTATAATACGAATTAAGACAAAGTATTACTAAATAAATGAGTTGGTTTTACTTATTTAATGTGGTCTGCGAGTAAAGTTTATATTCAAAATAGATCACCTAACTAGTTGCTTAAAGTATTATATAAGATATTTGAAATATTATCAAAGAACTTAACCAAAAGTTGGTCAAAAGTAATACAAAAAAAATTAAAACCTATAAAGAACTAATAAAAAAAGTAATTACAACTATAAAAACAAAAAAAAAATTGTAGTTTAAGATTTTAAAAATTATATATACTAATAGAGAAATTTATAAAAAAGGTTTTAATAATATATTGTATATACTGTAAAACTTCAAATATAAGCTTGTAAATAAATAATATATAAGATAAAAAAAAAGCAATTTTGTTTGATTTAATTATAATTTAGCTTTAAAATTATTTAAAAACCAATAGTTTACTTATCTTTTAAACTATATTTTAGGCAAATTTGTCTAAAAAATTAAAGTATTTTTAAATAAAATAATTTATTAATGATATGGAGTATATATTTATTATAGAATATATTCTTGAAAATATACAGTATATTATAAGAGCATTTATTTTTGGTGCACCCTGCACTTGGTGCATCCTTCTATGATAT